ATCGCCCTCCTTCTCACTTTCTCATCCTCTCCTCTCTTTTTTTCCCCATTTCTCTTCCTCTTTTCCTTTCTTCTACACTCCCCCCCCATCAAACTTGCCTTTCAAGGTATCTAGAAGGTCTAAGTTAGCACACATGCAAAAGCGTGTTTGAGCTCTATTTTCAAATAGGACTTTGGGAAGTATTTGGCTATTTGGCTAATGAAGAAGATTTAGTCACTGATTTAGGTCTTCCAAATTGCTCTCAAACAGGATTTTATTTTTATCACTATTTTCAGAGGAAACCAACTTCCACAGGGGATATAAATACCCTCCGCAAGGCTACAAACAGCACTCTGCTGCTTCTGTTAGCACACATTGGAGTATTGAAACAGTTCCCCAAACTTCCAAAAGTTGAGTGGTGTGTCAGCAACCCGAACTAATGATTTCTCAACTCTACAACTCCAATCCCACCAGTTTTTATTAAAGGCTTACCCATCTGAAGTCAAAATTGCCATAATTAGGCTCCCCGCTGAGAAGAAGCAACTGAAGTCTTATGACTCATTTCCTCTTTCCAACATCAAATAATTTAGCTTCTGGTCCTCACCCCCAGTCATCTAGACTACACACACGTTGGTTTGCTGGAGGCTCTCTGAGCGAGCCAAGCAATTTCCTCCAGAAGAGAACCCAGATTTTGCAGCAGGGCTGCTCACCCCAGGGACTTCTCCCCACCGGCAGATCCAGCAGATCCAGCTTCAACGCCTGGAACGCTACTAAGTCCTTCGATGCTGCTTCAGCAGGTCCTGCACCTCTGAGCAACCCCAAATCTCTCATGCCACATAAACCCCACCGCGTTCAACGTGCAGCCTTGAATTGCTATAAAAGCACAACTTTGACCAGCTCTGACACCATTCCTGCTGTTTGCATACCTTGATTTAATAACAAAAAGGGAGAAGAACATTTTGGGGGGCACCAGGACACTGCATAAGGCCAGAGAACAACTAGACAAGGTACTACCTTTGACCAGCTCTGACACCATTCCTGCTGTTTGCATACCTTGATTTAATAACAAAAAGGGAGAAGCAAATCTTGGAGGGGACAGGGACACTGCACAAGGCCAGAGAACAACTAGACAAGGTACTACTCGTAACCCCTGACATGCTGTAGCAGTTGTAATATCATCATGGGTGGAGTATCCAGTTGTAATACCATCGTGGATGGAGTATCCAGCATCAGAACCAAGCAGAAGGACTGAGGGTGATTTGCAAGGGGAGGGGAACTATGGCAGGCAATTAAAATGCACCCAAAAAGTTTGATTCCCAAGTTAAAATCTTGATATGTCAACAGTTTATGAAGGTTTTGTTTTAAACAAATAGGATGCTATCCACGTGCCCTTGTTTCATTTTTAAATGCAAGCTATCTGCATGCAAAGCAGGTACAAAACCAGCACCTTCTATGCTTTCCTTTAATAGTCCATCCTTGCATTCAAGGACACAGCTCACTCCATACTGAACAGGCTCACTGCTGCCCGAAGAACATGCTTTTTGTTGTTTCTCATACATCACAAAAAGCCAGCATTTGTGCAGAATAACAGTCACACACGAGGAGAAAGTAAGAAACAATTACTGCAATTCCTTCAGCTCTTTTTCTTTTTGTTTGTTTGTTTGTTGGTTTATTTGTGGTTGGTGTTTTTTACACAGACAAGTCCTTAAAAAGGAAATGTTTGGAATTACTAATTACTAAACTCCCACACAGACATCTAAACATTTATTATCCTGTCTTTAAATAGCTTGAGGGGACAGGAGATGTCTTTTTCCCTCCCCCTAAGCAGGAATAAACAAAGATAACACCTACCTTTAACAATCTGCTTGGCACAGGCGTTATAAACTTGTTCCTGGGTTGTATTAGGAGGTAACACTCTATCAAAGACATACGGCTTCCCTTGCTGCAAACAAAAGAGAAACTCTGTAAGATAAAGAACATTTAAAACTGTTTACAGCCCCAATTTAACAGGCACCCTGAAATGCAGCATTTACTACAAAGGAAGCCATTCAGTGCAATGGAGACGACGATATTTTGTTGAATAAACAGATGTGACATCTCGTGTGCTCTGAAACCATCTTTTCTATAGCTGGCGAATAAAACACAGCATATGTTTTCTGTGTGTTCACATTTGGGTCAGCAGCTACAGTTGCAGGAAACAATAAGCTGAAATATCAGCAAATGAAAGTGGATGATTTTCTCCCTCTGGAGAAAGGAGTTAAGAGGGAATAGCCATATAAATATTCCCAAAAGATTTGCTATTCATTACTGTGCACTAGTGAAAGCTGTGGTGTGAGGCGCAACGGTCAGACCAGAGGGAATCAGAAGCTTGCAGGTCCCAAGAGCTGCCTCCTGCTGTGGCCAAGGTGGCCCACTGTGGTCCCAGCACAGTCCCAGCACACTATGTGTTCCTTCAGCAGGAATAGTCTGGTTTAATTTCTACACTAAATATGCAAATGTGTGTCGGTAAAACCCAAAATGTGCGTTATACCCAAAACAAGCAGCCCAGGCAGACTGTTACGTTGCCCTAAGTTTATATTTCATTCAGAAATTGTTATGATTTTTATCCTTAGGACCAACAAATAACAGGATGCCATGTGAGAGAGCTCTGAAATGATGTCTGGAATGGGATCAGGGCCACTTCCAGGTTGTGAACCACAATTTGTCCCACCATAGACACCGAGCTACCCTAATTCCCAGGTACAGCACGACTGACACTTATTCATATGTATATACAGCGTAGCACAACCTGCACATACACTTTCAGCAAATTTTGATTCCTCTTTGTAGCAGATGTAATTGGTTACAAGAGAAACACGTATTAGCAATCCTAAAAATAGCTTTGCCTGACACTTAAAAGGCAAATCAATTTCTAAGACAGCAGTTCCGTTCCTTACAACTCAAAACCAAGCAAGACATCTGCATTTAAAATACAATCCCTTCATTTAAAGTTACACTAAGTGTGCGTGTAGCATCTTTCTTATCTTCCATCAAAGCCTGTAATATTTCCCTTCGAAGACATGACACCTGCATAACGAGGGCTTCAAAGCAACTGGGAGGTGGCTGGATACCTGATGGAGGAGTCTTGTTCTGTTGAGTCGACGTGTCATTTCTGCCATTTGCAGCCAGCTGTTTCAACGCTCTGCTCAATTAACCGTTTTTTGTCACACTTTGATTTTACTTCAAGCAGATCATAAGCTTACACTCGCCTGCTCCTTAAACTCGGGTACTTAACAGCCACAGGGGAAATAAGACAAGAGAGGTGTTTGTCTGCGACGTGTGTTCTTTGTGTTTCATCCCAGAATTTCAGATCAAGGATAAGACGGCAATTTATAAATTATTTAGTAAATAATTAATGGGCTTGTGCTGGCATAGGGTGAACACTGGGCCACCCAAGCACCCTGCTTGGTAAGACACAAGCCCAAAGAGACGACTCAGATCAATTTCCCACCAGCTCTCCTTGGAGTCTTGGACAAGCTGACCATGAGCCAGCAATGTGCCCTTGTGGCCAAGGTGACCAATGGTCTCCTGAGGTGAATTAAAAAGAATGTGGCCAGCAGATGGAGGGAGGTCATCCTGCCCCTCTGCTCTGCCCTGGGGAGGCCACATCTGGAGCACTGGGTCCAGTTCTGGACCCCCCACTTCAAGAAGGACAGGGAAATGCTGGGAAGAGTCCAGTAGAAGATGATGAGGGGAATGGAGCATCTCTCTGCTGAGGAAAGGCTGAGAGCCCTGGGGCTGTTCAGCTGGAGAAGAGAAGACTGAGAGGGGATCTCATCAATGCTCATCTAATGGGTGGGTGGCAAGAAGATGGGGTCAGGCTCTTCTCAGAGGTGCCCAGTGACAGGACAAGAGGAAATGGGCACAAACTTGAACATAAGAAATTCCACCTAAACATGAGGAGGAACTTCTTTGCTGTGAGAGTGGCAGAGCCCTGGAAGAGCCTGCCCAGAGAGGTGGTGGAGTCTTCTTCTCTGGAGATACTCCAAACCTGCCTGGATGCCATCCTGTGCAACTGCTCTGGGTGACCCTGCTTTGGCAGGAGATTAGACCAGATGATCTCTGAAGGTCCCTTCCAACCCCTACAGTTCTGTGATTCTGTGATCCCCACAGCAGCCCCAGTCCCCAGGAGAGTGATGGGACTGCTGGGAGCACCCAGCTGGCACCTACCCCAAACTCTGCTCTCCACAGCTTTCTGCACAGTGCACATTGTGTGGCTCTCAGCTGGACAAAGCTCTTCGTTCCCAGGCTGAGAAGGGCTGCCCAGTCCTGCTATGACTATTCGCAAATGGACTTTTTACCTCCTTACCCTCAATTTTGCTTATTCCAAGCACTAGATGGTAAACTCTAATGCAAGAAGCCAAAAGACACACGGACACACAACCTCAGCCATGCACTTATCCCATTTCTTTCCTTCATGCCTGAGTTGAGGCTTATTAGCTAAGCAACGTGTGAGAGCAGCAGAGAGCCATGCCAGTACATCATCCCACCAGGGCGACCACGCCACTCCAGGCAAGCATTGCTCTGGTGCAATCAAACCAATTCTACTGAGCTCTCAACAGCTCTAATGCCCCCAAAACCAATCCCACCCTAATTGTGCCGCTCGCAGCTGAAAGAGGCGCCGGCTGCAACTGTTCTTTATCTGTCAAACCAAAAAGCTGTAAATGTAAAGCAGCAATTCACAAACGTGCTCCACGGGTCAAATTTCTTCCTCGGGATTTTTGTTCTGGGAAGCTAAAAGACTGGAACACCCATCGCTGATACCTGAAGAAAACAAATGAACATGAAGGATCCCAAAGCATCTGTCACTGACTGCACAGAACGAGAGCGCTCCATTATCCAAGCAGCATTAACAGGTTTTTGGGGAGGCTTTTTGGGCTTCATCTCCAAACTGATCTTAGACAAAGACACCTCAAGGCTCATGTTTCTTTCCCCAAAGGAGGGTACAATGAGTGGGCACAGACCCTCCGCCTATCCTCAGTTTGAGAGTTTATGCTTCTTTTGCTCTACCAGAACTTCTCCTCTGCCCTAAATCCTCTCAGTCCTGCTCAACACTCTTCTCCCAACCTACCCCACCAGCTGCCCTCCCTTAGGCTCCTCAGCCCCCTCCTTCTTTCTTTGTTCAGAAGTTCCTGCTTGGGTCTCTGACGTTGGAGAAACATTGGGAACCTCCCGTGTCACCCACTCAACTTGTTCAGCTTCCTGACCCTTCTGTCCCACCAGCTCTCCTTGGGAGTCCTCCTCACCACCATCTCCAGGGTCCTGGTGGCTGGCTGTGACCTTCAGCACCTCTCCTACCAGGTTGTCCCTCACTCCTTCCACATCCCAGCCCACAAACCCACTCTGGATGTGTCCCATAGCCTCAGCTTACAGGGGCTGGAGGAGGCCACAACACCTTAGCTGGGAAAAGATGCCCAGCTTGAAGGAAAGCTGTGGCAATTCAGCTTCCAAGATACTGTTAAGATCAAAGATTGTTCTCTGGAGCAAACTGCAGTTTTAGGGGGGTTTTGTTTTGGAGGATGTTGTTGTTATAAGCTCTTAAGTTTTGACAGACTTTCCTCAAAGGTAACAAAAGCCATATCCATCCTACAAATACAACACGCTGGCAGATCCAAAGGTTTTGTTCCAAAACAGAGAGGGAGGGTGAGCAAGCATGAATATCACTTTTTTTGCGTGTTCCCAAGCGGTACTCTTCCCCCTTATTGTCATCTTCAGAAATACCATAAATGCTTTTATTATTTTTTTTTTTTCAAATGTAACTCAGCTTGAATTAAATACCAAAATCAGGAAGATTTCAGCCTTATTAGCACTTATTCAAGAAAGCAATAAGCAGCTAGAAATAAAGTGTTATTTTCTGAGCTGCTGCTAACAGTTTTATCTGTGTGCCGCCTCCATACATTATTTTTCAAACTTTCTCATTATATGCAGCGGATTATCTCTCATACATAAATCACATCTCCCTTCCTATGCCATTACTTCCTACAGTCCCCCTGACAATCTGTTCCATTAACTTCTGCCACTGCTGCATAATGGCTAGGATAAGTGCTCCGATCCACCCACACAATTCCTGCTGAAGTTGTATTGACAGCTAGATACATTCTCTTCTGGCCCTTCGATAGCACGGAGAAGGCTATTCATATGTATTACCAATCAATGTCTCACCAGCTTAATGTTTAGAGCCTCCTATGGAGTTTACAGGCCTGGCATTTAAAAATCAGAGAATTTCACAAGCACAGAAAAGAATCCTGACCATAAATGCCTGTGCTACCAAAACCATCATTTTACAAGCAACATCGCAGAGCGGTACTATCTCTAGGAGCTGACAGAGTCTCAATTAAAGATAACCAAATACATTTCCTATTAAAAAAAAAAAAAGGAAAAAAATCAACTCTCCTAAATTCTACACAGACAGGAAATGAGAAGTGCTCAGTGCTTGGAGCTGCATGCTAAGAATTAGGAGCCTTAATGCAATTTCATGATTAATTCCCTGTGATCTTCAGACAGGCATTCAGGGATGATTCTGCCAGTGTATCTGCAGTTACGATGTTAAGTGAGATGATACCTGAATTTCAGGCATCTGAGCTCAGAGGCAGAATCCACAGCCCAAGGTTCATCCACAAAGCGCCTTATAAAACCCATGGGCAGGGGGGGATGGCTTGGAATAGAATTTCCAACACCGGCATGTAGCTCAGATATATAATTGCTAAAGTAGAAAAGAAGAAGAGATCATACAAAATGCTGGTTTTCTTTGCTTTTTTGGGGCTGTAAGGAGACATTTGGGTCAGATGAGGAATTATAGCCTGAAACCATCCCCTAGAATTAAGGATACCATCCAGATTTATCCCAGGACAGATGAAAGTTTGTTCTGCATGAGCAGAAAACAGCTGGGAGCAAGTTATATGA